ACTGAAAATGCTACAAAGAAAATTATGGGGTCAACTGACAAAATTGAAATATGACTAAAGGATTGTAACAATGTTAAATTTACTGAAGTCAATAAATACACTATGGTTATATAAGAAAATATCCCTATTCTTGGGAAATACAGTATTTAGGGGCCAAAGGCTCCTACTTTTAAATGGAGTGTGTATGTGTGTGTATATTTCTCTTTTATAGCTCTGCCCAGCAAAGAAAATAAGATTTTCTACACAGCAGTTTGAAAGTCAATGCAAAGGTCCACAAAATTCCTGTGAAGCAGATATCACTTTTCAACCCAACAAACACTTTAATACATAGTGTGTGAAAAGCAGCTGAGTAGAAATTACATAATTAGGCTGTTACACAAATTCCTGAGCAAGGTATATATTGCAGCCAATATCATTAGTAACAGTCATTACTAACCCCCTTCACCCTTGCAGCTTGTGCTATAGAATTTCAAATGCCAAGTACCCTGACAGCCTCCCTTGCAGCTAAGGGTGGCCATGTGATCCACCTGTGGCCAATGAAACCTAAGAGAATATTTGCTGGGAGCTTCTGGGAAAGTTTCTGCTTTCCCGACAAAAGGGAAAGCAAGAAGGGAGACGCCTCATGGCCACTCCACGTCCCACCTCCTTCTTGCATTTAATGGGGATGCCTGGAGCTTGACAAAACAAGCTTGAAGTCATAACGGTAAAGAGAGGCAAGTGAAAATAAAGAAAAAAGCCTAGATCTTTACTGACATCATTGGGTAGCTGAACCAACTTCAGCAAATGCTTACCTCTGTACTTATGTGAGAAAAAGATGCTATTTGTTTAAACCACTGAAAGTCAGGCATCTGTTACTTACAGTTGCATCTTTACTGATGCCTGCTTATGCAGGAAAAATGGGGAGAAGGCAGGAGAACAAATGCAAAAGGCTGCATGCCATGCACTGCTGTGCAGAGGAAGCAATCCCAAAACAAAATGCCCATTTAAAACCTGGACCAAATGGCATTTTTAACAGTAGCAAGAATGTAACAATTTTCATTAACAAAAGTTAAAATAAAGAAGCGCTGCAACAGTAAGCATTCTACAATGATTTGAGAGCTGAAAAGGTCAAAAACATCCTCTAATCAGCTGGCTTTAAATGGAAACCATCTCGGGTGTCCTGCCAAGAGCGTATATTGTTGCCAACTTCCTAATTTAAAACCATATATAAGAATGCTTTAACTGAAACACACAAGCTAAAAATAAAACATTTAAATAGTAATCTCCCTTCTCTCTCAAAGATAAATGTGCCCATTAACCCAGGATGCTAACAGATTTCTTTCTCTTACATTCTATCTGACCTTTTCTTCCCTAAGTCATTCACGAGGAAATCAGCACAGAAAAAACAATTTAGGAAGTTGGCTCCTGATCAGCTACTTCACTGAATTAAAGTGCAATCGGGTTCATAATTTTTAAATGGAAATATTAAACATGTGTAGTAAATACCGCTACATAAGGTGCTGTGGAAACCTGTGGGTGGGATGGAAGGCAACTGGGTATGAAGATACTCCAAAGCCACACGTGCTCTTGGGGAGTTAACCATCTCGTTAGAGCAGGAAGAGATCAATGTGAAAAGTTAAATGAAATGTTTCAATAACAGTTCTAGACAGTAGAAGAGCTGTCATAAAACCGTGTACGATTCATTGCCAAAAAAGATTGTTGCTGATGCTAGCTGGCGCAGCATTTCAGAGAAGAAAAAGATCATTTCAAGTTGAGGAAGGGTTGGGGAGACTTTACAGAGAAGGCAGGACCCCAGCTCAGGCTTGAAGGATGCAGAGAAACTGTGAATGGGCAAAGAAAGCACATTAAGAGCCTCGAAGAAAGGCTGGTTGTTTAAAAAAAAAAAAAACGTGAGAAACCCTTCAGGATGTTCTAGTGACTGGTTTAGGGAGGGACGCAGTCAGGGCCCATGGGGATGATGCCAGGTTGTAAAGCTGGATTGACTATTCCAAAGAAAATGGCAGCCAAAAGGTGGAAACGATCCAAGAGGCCATCAATGAATGAACAGATAAACAAAATGTGGTATACAGTGGAATATTATTCAGCCTTCAAAGGGAACAAAATTGTGACACATGCTACAATATGGATAAACCTTAAAGACATGATGCTAGGGGAAATAAGCCAGTCACAAAAAGAAAATCCTGTATGATTCCACTTATATGAGATACCTAAAGTAGTCAAATTCACAGAGATGGAAAGTAGAATGGTGGCTGCTAGGGGCTGAGGTGGCAGGGGAAATGCGGAGTTACTGGTTAATGGGCACAGAGTTTCAGTTTTGCAAGATGAAAAGAGTTCTGGAGATGGATGGCGGGAATGGTTATACAACAATGTGATTCTACTTAATACACTGAACTGTACACTTAAAAATGGTTAAGATGGTACATTTTATGTTATATATATTTTACCACACTAAGAAAAAAAATACGTTTAAAAACAGAAAGAGAATAGCAGCAGGCAAGTGAAAATATGGACTGGGGTTCAAGAGGGAGCCCAGGACTGGAGAAAAATTTTGCAGTTGGCCGCAAAAATATGGGCAACATCTTCAGGCTCCAGGCCTGTGAGACCGGCGGGCTCCACATAGTAATTCTACCACTGAGTGGTGAGCAGGTGGTAGACAGAACGCCTCCCCGAATTTTCTTTGGAAATACTGAACTCAATTTAATTTAATGAAGGATCCCTAAAATGTTTTAAAATATGTGACCTTGGAAATACACTAAGAGTCAGGCTCCTGCAGACACCCCTGACGCCCGCCCTCTCCCCACTGGCCTTACTCAGAGGGATGAGGATACTGAAAGGACACAGCTCAATCCCAGAGAAAATCAAGTGCAGGTTGCGCATGCGTGGCCCAGGCAGGTGGAGAGCGTTACTTAGCTCAGTAGAGATTGGCAAAGTTGGGCTTCATCTAACAATTCTGTTATCCAGGCATCTACATCTTCCCTAGCTCTGAACGGGGAATCATCGGAGCACAGACCTGACGCACGGCAGACACTTAATAACTATTTGGAGATTCAAATAGATTCATGATGAAATGGCTTTAGACCCTCCAGCAGTTCTGGAGGAAAAATCAGGCTCGTTGAAGGTCTTTTCAGAATTCCTGGGCACCCCTCAATTCTAAACATAAGCCTTTTCCCCTAAATGTGATCCTGACTCCAGAAAGTCCTGGGCTTTGCCTGCCTCTGCCAATGGTAATCTGCAACTCTCGTCATCAGGAAACCTACCTGACAGCAGGTAAGTTGCAGGTAAGTTGGCAGAGCCCTGGCCCCCGAGTTCTGGTCCTCCCACTGACCTTAGGCAGGCCTCCTGGTTAATGACTTGCTGACACGATCATTTTTTTGAGCAGCCTTTTTTTAAAAAACAAAAACAAGTTAACTATAAATATTAAAACTTCTCACCAATGTCACCAATAGGAAACCTACCTCCCCTGAATTCTCGGGCCCTTCTGCAACAATCGATTCTTTGACACAAATATTTTTAATCTTCAGGTGGATACGGACTGGACATTGGAAGATCAAAAACTATGCCTGGCACACAGGAAGTTTAGATCGTTGTTCATCCAAGCTTGAATTTTTATTTGAGCTCTTCTCAATTTTTCTTTTTATGCATGTTCCCTTATTTTGCTTCATTTTTAATTGAGGAAAAAATGGTTAATATATGAGATCACTTTCACTGCCGGGTCTTATTGGGCTTCAGGCGGCTTTAAGGGCAGACTTTTAAAAAAGAAGAAAAGCATAAAATGTGTCAGGGAAATGGAATTTCTATTTCACTCACAATTTTGCTTTTTAAATGTTGTTCTAACAACAGTTCAGTGAAAGACGGTTTCCTTATTGTCATTTATTAGCCATGACAGGCAGCAACAATCGTCTCAGATACAGCCTCCCTTTGCCACAATCATCTAGTAATGCCTGCAAGGCAAAAGATGGCTCTTTCCTTCTGGAATGCTTTTCCAGAAAACCCCCTTCCTTTCTGGAATGCTTTTCCAGAAAAATCATTCCTTCTGGAATGCTTTTCCCAAAGGCACCAGTTCAACACAAACCTCTATTAACTGGAACTCTGACATCTGCAGAATTCTCTGCATAGGAAGACTTCACTACTCCTCCAGCGACAGCAGAAACCAAGACATAATTACTCACACTGCTGTCACCAGGAAGTCAGGTTCAGCAACATGGTCTATATGCGGAAGCCTTATGTACCCACATCGAGAGGATCACCCCACATAAACCATCCAACCACTGTCGATGGACGTACTTCCTTCTTAACAAGAATCCTTCCCTGTTAATCTCCTCCCAACAGAGAAAAGGAAATAAAAAATTTTCACCAAAACCCAATGTAACAAAATGAGACCAAATATAAGATAGTATCAAAATTAAATAAATTAGATGCACTACTGGCTTAGTAGGCCCTAGACCTATTTAGAAATGTGACATAAAAATAACACACTTCTTACCAACCGGGCACACAAGGCATAATTTGCAGCAACATAAAAATCTACTGTATTTTCTATCTTTAAGTTTCTTTGTTGATTTCTTTCTTCTATATACCTTTTATGCATTTTGGAGCAAATAGAAGGCAAGGGTTCGGAAGAGATAAGAGAGAAAAAAATTGAGGAGAGAAAAGAAGAGAGATTTAGAAAGAGAATCAGGTGAGAACGCAGCAGGAGAAGGCAGAATGGGAGCCTGAAGTGTGATGGGGGGGAGGCGGCCTGGGACCTATGAGGCGGCCGCACGTGAGACAAGCAGCAGGGCACACAGGAGAGATGGGTAAGATAGCCTTTCTTCACACCTTCAATCTGGTCCATGAAGATGCTCCACCGTCCACCTGGGGAAAGCACACAGCACCAGGATCTCACACTGTCCTCTGAGCATTAAAACACATGTAACGTGCTTCAAAGACAACACAGAAACGACAGAAATGGAGAGTTCAGTATATAATTACCTTATAAAAATGAACATGCTTCAGCGTGGTGGATTTTAATAAGATTTTAATAATACTGGTAAGGAGCCAAATTACAAAATGTCTTAGAATATGGAGTACAAAACCTCAGAGACAAAATAAAAACTCATGAAAATATAAGAGCACTTTAAAACGGTAATAATCTTTAGGGTAAAGAAACCATTTTCTCAACAAAGGTACTGAGCATGTTTAATAAAAATTCAATGAGAATAAAGGCAAGGTGCACAGCCACACATTCCCCAAATCACAGTGATTAGGGAGGTGACATGCGTCAATGAAGGCATGGCCAGGAGCACGAGTGAGCTCCCATCATGGACAGATCTGGAATAACCCACCTCGAGGTGGGCTGAATTTCCTCTCATTTCATTTATAGACAGGAATTCATTTAGTCTGTGGTTGTGGAGCAGCCTTGGAAATGAACCGTGTTGGCGTGTGGAGGAGCATGGCAACACACTTCCACACTTTCACGTGGTGGAGGCAGGTGATGCCCCGCCCCTCCCAGCCAGACTACCCCCGTTGCAGCCACAGCAGGGCATGGTCTTGGGGGAGACAAGGGGAGACAGGCTGTCTCCTCTGGGAACAACTCATTATTCAGATAAACTAATCTAAGAGCTCTGTGTGACCAGCAAACCCAAAACAAGAAGCAAAAACAAGAGGGGTTCCCCACCCCCAGAGGGACAACCACCTGTGGGCAGCAGGACAGCAGAAGCAGAGAAAGCATCTGGGATTCAGTTATGCTCATCATCTGTCCAGACAGATGAGCCATCCTATCTGGTTTTTTGGGTGGGCGGGTGAGGGTTTCCCTCAACTCTTTAAAGCAAATAGTTTCACGCTATTGTCCTGTGGGTCCTTTTTTTTCCCCCCAAGGGCACTACTACTATGCTTCATTTGGGCCAGATGTTCACATCAGTGTGTCTGTTCCTCTCGCTAGGAAGACAACAATTATTAATTTGTCCTGCCAACACATGTAACAGTGAAGAGCAGCTCTGAGATGCAGCGGACAACAGATATCTGCGCCCTTCTGCAGAGCCACGAGAATCCCAGCAAACCAGGGGATGGAGCAGGAGGACCCCACTCCAGCCCCCTGCGACAGGCCATCGGCAGGCTCGTTTATTTTAAACTCTAAATCAACAGTTTTAAACAGACGCAGATTCCATGTGACAGGGGAGACAGTCAGGAAGATTCGGAGGCTATTTTATACTCTTCAGATGTCTAGCTCTGCGGCACGGGCTATTAAAAAGTTATGTGTAACTGCGAGACGAAAGGCTTTAGCAGCTTTTTAGCACAGGATAATCCCAATCTTCTGGAGATTTAATGAGATGTAACTCACTGAGGCTTCTGAGTCGGTCTGCTGTTAATTGAATCAAAGTCAATGACAATCTTGCTGCACTTTGGTGTGAATTTCCTAAACATAAGAAACAAAACATATAAAGATATTATCCAAGGAGTAGTGAAAGCAATTTGTTTACTTTGGCTTAACCTACATTTTCCAGGGGGAGGAAAAAATTTCCCAGTATTCACTTGTATTTTATCTCCATAAAAGTCAATTAGAGGGCACCATACCGAGAGACACATGGGCCAGAAAAGACTAAGACGAAAACAGATGTGTGGGGTGGCTTGTTCGTACGTTCTCCAGCTGGCTGAGTTCATGAATTATCGGGGAGTCAGAGGGTTTCTAACAAGTTAGCTGCACAACACCACATCCGATTACTAGTTTTCCCACCAGACTGATCTTCTTTTCTAGGAAATTTCTGCAGCCAACTTGGAAATCGCTCTAAAGCAAAGAAGAGTAAATTTTCTCTTGCCTCTTGTACATTACGTAGCAAAAAAACAGCTAGCTTTAGCGAGGAGTAATTTTTAAAATTGTCTTCTAAAAACACAGAAGTACAATAAACCCACTATATATTTTTTTACTTATTAAGCTGCCTTCTAAAACAGTTAAAAAGAAAATATTTGAGGACTAAACATATTCTTTAAAAATCAGTAAATAGTAAATATCTAATTATTATGATGTAGGTAATTTGGGTTTAAAGTCTCATAAGGTACAAAAGTTTGAGAGATTCATTACATACAACCTACATCCCTAATGATGAATAGGAGATAGGTATGTTACTGCTTATAAGAACCTCGCTGCTGACCACAAATATCACGAAGGACCTGCTTTCAAAGCTTTCAGTCTCAAAAGAAGTTTCCACCATGAATCAAAGCTGGGTGAACTCACTTGCAAGGAAAACACACCTCCCAATCTTTGCCTATCAAAGATAATCATAAAAATCTAAGTGACTTCAAATCTCAATTTAAAACATTGCTGTAGAAAGCATTCCTGGTGTTTCAACCTGGCAGGTTACTTTCATCCTAAATTATCTATGCCAGAGTGGTTACATTTGCAAAATTTACAAAGGTTCAATGTTAACATTATAAAACGTGTGAATTTTAAAAATTTCTTGCTACTAGAATAATTAGTCCAAGCCGTGGAAAGCTACTAACATTAAAGTGCAATCATTAGACAGACTGTCTTCAGATGCTTCTGTCACTGCTCTTAAAAATCTACCCCTAAAATAATCTTCAGATCGTTAGCCCATCACATTTAAAAAGATGCTTCCAAGTGTGGAAGTCAGGCATCACAAGGAGAAATGAAACATCAGACAAGGTCGAGGATGTTTCTTCATCAGCCCTTCATACCGCCTTCCCCTTCCCAGTTCTTCCGACTTACCTGAAGGTAACCCCAGCCATATCAAACAAGAGCCTGGCAGCGGTTGCCTCATCGCTATCATGGTATTTATCAGACATGAAAATAACTTCTTTGATACCTTAAAAGGCAACAACAGAAGAAGCCCCATTACTACATGAGCACAGAGTACTGCCACAGACACGCAGAAGCAGACGGGGCCCTGGTACTGTTCATGATTAATCACCTTTTCCCAGTGTGCGTGCACACAGTGTCCAGTTACGGAAATACATATCCGCTGCTTTCGAATACAACAAGGAGGGGTTCTATTTAATCTGCCCTCCAGTCTTCAGGGATCTTTTTTTTTTAACAAATGCAAAGTGGAAATACGTCAAGCAGTCAAGCCTTGATCCGATTAGCAAATTTTCTTTACTGCAGGGAATCAAATATTCTTGATTCACTAGGCAACGACTCTTAACTCAAAAGGCTAATGGGGGGCATGGAGAGTGCTGGCAAAATCAGAGATCAGGGGGCTGGCCGGTGGCGCAGCAGTTAAGTTCGCATGTTCCGCTTCGGTGGATCAGGGTTCACTGGTTCAGATCCCGGGTCGGGACACGGCACCGCTCATCAAGCCACGCTGTGGCAGGCATCCCACATATAAAGTAGAGGCAGATGGGCGTGGATGTTAGCTCAGGGCCAGTCTTCCTCAGCAAAAAGAGGAAGATTGGCGGCAGATGTTAGCTCAGGCTAATCTTCCTCAAAAAAACCCATCAGAGATCAGTCCACCCCGTGCTTCCAAGAACGGCTCTGCAGACCAATTCAAGCCAGCTCCACGGAGAGCAGATCTGTTTTCTTCTCCTGCCTCACCAGGCAGTACTAGCCTGAGAGCCAAGAATCTGGAGGGCCCTCGACGCCCCACTCTGCCCCTCCACCAGCCTCTGAAGGGACCACAGGAAGCTGGCCTCGCAGGACACACTGCTCTTCCCACATGCCTGCTGCCACCTCTATGCACAGGAAAACTCCTGAAGGATTGGGCACCAGCAGTGAGGGAGCCCACGACATTCCCTGACAGAGGCCTTTGATTCAATACCACCAGACCCCTTCTGCTCAGAGATCCAGGGGCAGCTGCTTTACACCACACATCTGGCTAACACGATAAATCTTGAAATCTCAAGCCGGGAGTTTTATGGCGTTAAAATGTAGCTGAATCTTAGACGTGACAGTTTGAAAAAGGTGAAATATTCAGAATACAATGGTGTAGATTTATATACGAACCGTCATGTAAGAAAAACTTAGAGTACTACCGTTTGAGTCTCACGACAATTTATATGCAAAGATACGTTTAGGTCCTCAGATATCTACCATATATTAGAGACAAATTAAAATTTCATATACAGACTCCCAGCTGACCTTGTTTCTGACAGAAGTTCATTTCTCTCCCTCCCCCCTAATCTATGCACAATATGTCAGAGAATAGTCAATTGACAGTAATTATATGCAATGCCGGTGGTGTTTTTTTTGGCAGCTTGCAGTTTAAGAAGTTGCAAACTAAATTAAAAACATGCTAAGAATCACAGAGGATGCAATTAGTCAGAGAATACCTGGCACCATTCAAAAACAAAACACGGGGACTATCTTGCAAAGTTGATGGTGCAATTAAGTTAGATCTAAACAAGGCACGTGAAGATCAAACGCGACGGCAACGAGCTCCTGACAACAGGCAGCAACGCAAATGTGACAAATGGAAGCGGCGGGTTCCTACCTGCCTGGATGATGAGCTTAGCACACTCATTGCACGGGAACAAGGCGACGTACATGGTACAGCCCTTCACGTCGGCCGAGTTTTTGTTCATAATGGCATTGAGCTCGGCATGGCACACTGTGGGTTGGAAAGAGAAAGAAAAGAAAAATTTAGATTGCAGCTCATGAGGAATTTACTAACAGTGTTGAAGCATGCCATTCGCCCCTCTGAAATAACATATCATAGACTCAATTAAAAGAAGTTTGATTAGAAATGGAAAATACAGAGAATATCAAATGAGGGCCACGGCGTATGACAGGTTGGCAATTAGCCGCAAAACCGTTCATGGCAGCAGCCCTCGGTCTGTAAGCACCCAGAGCCACCAGGAGGGGCCGAGGTCAAGCGCCGTCACCCACCCTGAGCGGAGCCATAGCTCACGGCTCCACAAGACCCTGGGGGAAGGAACTGCCCACATAAAATGGCTCATTTGTGCGTTGATATGCACACGCAGGAATATTTGCTGTGGCCGTTATGAGGGCAGGGAGCAATTTTAAGAGCAAGAGAATCAAGAAGTGAAGCCGAGCATTTCTGTCCCGAGGGATCTGCTGCACCGCATGGTTCTCAGCCGGCATCCACTCGAAAAACGCCAGCGGGGAATCAGCAGCTTGTCTTTTATTAGAAAAATATTCAGCCGGTGGATGGCAATGAGAAAGTCAAGTTCTTACTCTACACCAACGATCCCCAAACGGGGTCCAAGGTCAGCCCCAGACTCGCCTGAATTCAAGATTAAAGGGAGCATCCTCTCTCCTCTCCTGCACCTGTCAGAGCCCGCCCATCTTCCCAGGCCGTTTAGCTAGGTGTCCCCCCACCTAAGCCACAGGGCGCACCTCCTCTCCAGAAAGCGGGTAGTCCTCACAGCTCTGAGTTTGGAATCCCTACCTGCCTTGTGAGGTCGCTGCACCACCATCTTATATCGCTGTTTAATTTTCTGGGGGCATTCTCTAAAAGTGCATCATAATCTCCTTGTGGCAGTGATTCAGAAACTTGTCTGCATGTTGGGATCCCCCGGGGAGCTTCCAAACCACCACATCTGGAGACTGTGATGGTCTGGGGCGTGGCCTGGGTTTTGGACTTTTAAAGAAATTCCCGCCTGATTGTACCGAGCAGACAGCTTTAGGGAACTATGCCTTACAGAATCCTCTGGCATCCCAAGGGGGCTTAACACATGCTATGCACACAAGTGCTAAAATAAATGTTTGTTGAACGGATTAATGAATGACTATCTGGCAGTGGTCCAAATCATACAAAACTCCTGGAATTATAAATCTGGGGGCTTTTAAGGGTCTCCCCTACCCTTTCCCACCCACCAACCTTCCACACTTAACATCTTCTTCCAGGAGTGTTGGGCCTTAATTGAAAAGAGGCCTGGACTCATGGCTCTCGCACGTTTTAGCTGTGACGTACTCAGCCAATGACCCTTTACTGAGTGCATGCTCTAGCTCAGACAGGATACAGACCCTGGTCCCGCTTCGTGCCCAGGCCTCCAGTTTTCAGGGGGAATTGCAGCTGTCTATGTGCGCCTGTGTCCCACAGCAGCTCTGCAATGCTGCAGGCAGACAGTTGACCTCAGGCCCTCCCAGGAAACGCTGGGAGTGCTCACTTCAGTTTAGGAATACCATGACGTAGGAGGTCTCACTTGTGTGTGGAATGAACAGTCTGCCATTATAAGAAAATCTGAAGACTAAAAAAAGCTGCGTTTATAACCAGATCACAGCCATCAGAGAATAATCCCCACTGGCCACAGAGGGACCTGAGCCACTGGCCCATAAACCCCGAGGGGGTGGGAGGATGAGGGAAGAGAAGAGAAAGGCTCTTGCTTACTCACTCACGCTTAGTGGCAAGTAGTCACCTTCCCTGGTGACCAGGACGTTCCCAAGCTGGGATTAACACTGCTCGGTGTTAAAAACAATTAGATGTAATTGTTTCTTTTATTTTCCTCTTGAGGGCAGAGGCCAGTCTCCTAGGTTCTTTGTAACTCCCTCAGAGTCTAATGCGATGCCATAAACACGATGCGTGTTAAATATTTATCGAACGAATAAAGGAGGAAATGCAGACTCCAATTATTGATGGCGACGTTGGGACATACAGAAAGTCCTCTCAAATTCAAATACCAAAAATATGCTTTCCCATCTAATAAATATTTTTTGCTGGTGTTGGTATTAATATTCAGAACTACAGAGTTTCTGAATCTGTTAGGAACGCCTATTATATTGCCCTCTTTCGAATCTCTAAACATTGTCATATTGACTGTAACTATCTTCCTCTAATTCATCCAAGGCAGTTTGGGGCAAAATTTAACCTTACATGTCTGGGCTCATTAATGAAAATTACCATATGAAACAGATTCTCTTGGGCAGCATCTGACATCCCCGTATAAAGAGTGGTTTATAGAAATAACACACAGGATTGTAAAGAGACTTCCTTTCTCTTAAGTACAAAATCGCAAGATGAAAAATACAAAGCTTGTTAGAGAAAGATGAGAGGTACTGGGCAGTAAGAAGGGCGAGTGCCAGGCACACGAGACTATTTAGAAGGAGCAGTTCACGGTCCCCGATCCCACCAATTCAAAACCAGACAGCGACAGAAACAAAACTCAAGCGTTCCATCTTCACTCGACCTCTCCTGCTCCCCCTGCACCCCTTCAACTTCAGACACCACAAACGCCTTCTCCAGCCTCGCCCAGAGCCCCCTTGGCCACCAAACATGGTCTGATTAAGACTGGCTTCCTGAGCCTGCACCCAGGGGGTTCAGGGGAGAAACCCCACCCCAGGGACGCACCTGACACCTCAGCCCGGGCCCTCCCACCTGTAACTCCCCACGCGCTGTCTGTGCAGATCCCAAAGTCCGCAAGGCTTCACGTTTCTGGCCTGGCACTGGCCTCTGAGACGCACGATCTCCAGCCTCTGTGGCTCTGACCCTCTGCTTCCCCTCAGGCCTAGACCCCTACACTGTCCTCAAAGAGGAAACTGGGCAGACTACCGTGACGACCGTCCACTCGCTGTGTTTAACATCGGTCACTCAGAGCGGAGTCTGGGGGCTTCTTCACCTGGACTGGCCGTCTACACTGATCAAATCACAGGGACCTGCGGAATCTGCTTCAGGCCACCAAGAGCACTCAGGGGCGAGCAGGCCTGGCCGGTGACGGGCTTGCTCCGGGGCCCGGCGAGCCCAACCACAAGGCCGAGTGTCTTCCCCTTGTGTTCCCCACCTGGTGGGCAAGTGTGGAGAAAGCTTTCTAACAAGAATCAGCACCACAGTTCAAGGCCCAGTTTTGCCACCTAAAGCTGTGTGGCCCTTGACAAGCGCATGCATACGTGCTCTTTCTGGCTGCAGGAGTAACACTGGCTCTGAAAATGCATTTCCAACGAACTAAATAAAAGCAATTTTTAAAATACCAAGATTTTTAGCTTTTTCCTCATGTGTCCAGTTTCGTTCCTCCATCCTCTAGAAAGGCTGATCTTCATTAAGACAGGCTCTCCACAACAGACCAGGAGTCTTCTCTATCTCCAAAGACAAGGCCCATCTCTCAGCCCCGGCTCTCACTCTCTGATAGCACTCGCTGGCTTCCCTCTACTCCATTTCTCTTCTCCTTTTTTTTTTTTTTTTTGTGAGGAAGATTGGCCCTGAGCTAACATCTGTGTCAATCTTCCTTTATTTTGTTTGTGGGACAACACCACAGCATGGCTTGATGAGTGGTGTGTAGGTCCCCGCCCAGGATTCAGACACATGAACCCCTGGCCGCCAAAGCGGAGTGCATGAACTTAACCACGATGCCACTGAGCTGGCCCCCATTTCTCTTCTCCTTTACACATGCATACTTATTCCCCATTCTGAAGAGGCCAACTTTTCAGCTTTTTGGTCTCTTTTCTTCTTCCTTTCAAGATGAAATTGTCCTGTCTAGAACTGCTACTCGAATTCATTTTTTTAAATAATCATCTCTTGACTTTGTAATGCATATATAACCTCTAGTTTTCTCTAAAACAACACTTTTCAAACTGTGGGTCTTGAAATCAGTTTAGTGAGTTACAAGCAGCATTTTTTTCCTTTTTAATGAAATGGATGAAAAGAGAAGGGAAGAGCTCAGAATGCCTCCCACATGGCAAGATTAAGTACTGTTCCTAAAAACTCTTTCAGGTGTAAACTATGTTTGCTGGGTCACTATGTAAAAAGTTTGAGAAACACTACTCTATGCAAACCTGTTGGCCTCTGTAAAATGATAGTAAATGTTTACAACCAACTATTAAAAAAAAAAAAAAAAAGCCCTGATTTGCAGCATCTGCCAATTTCTATGGTGTAAATACGCACCATATGGCCAATTTCAAGCTCCCAACACAACACGGGGTTGGGAAGAGATGCACAATTTGCTCTGGTGAGCTGCTCAGAGCCAGCTGCCACACATGCTGGATGGCCTCATCTCCCCTAAACGCAAAGTCTCTCTCTGGTCGCTGTCTCTGGATTCGCTGCTCTCCCGGCCCTTGACTAGTGACTACTCTCCGCTCTAAACCCCATCAGGATCACAGACTCTTTGGGGTCTCCTTCTAGTTTTCTGTGGGTCTTTTTATCGCCTTTCTGGGCATTTCCCAAGGTTCAATCCTACTCTTTGTCTCCTGTAGTCACTGACTTTAAGAATTCATACATTCTCAGCGGATCTGTTTGTAAAACCCTGAAATCCACATTTCTAACCCAAATGTCCCATCTGTTCCTCATATCTTTTCTTTGGGTGGTCTGAGGCTTCTCTGTAACTCTTCTCACTATGATAAACATTCCACAGATATGTGACAGCAATAAATTAAAGAATGAATTTCTCTTTTTCTAGTGGTAGCATTTTTATTCTGTTGCCTAGGAATACCCATAGCAAGAGCTACAAACATACAAGTGCTAAAACCAACCAAGGAGGGGTGGTTCTGTGAGTGATCCAGATGAGCAGTTTTGTTTCTTGTGTGTGTGAGGAAGATTGGCCCTGAGCTAATATCTGTTGCCAATCTTCCTCTTTTTGCTTGAGGAAGATTGTCGCTGAGCTAACAACATCTGTGCCAATCTTCTCTATTGTGTGTGGGTTGCCACCACAGCATGGCTTG